GACATTCTCAGAATTCAAATGGCATTTAAAACTTTAAGATTAAAGGCCACACGAAGTTAAAGCAATCTTGACTTTTTAAGTTACGGGAAGACTGGAAATAAATGTGGTCATTATTCTATAAAGACAGCTGAAATAACCCCTCCCTCCTCCAATGTCCAACCACACCAGAGGACCAAGAGTCATCAGCAGAAATGCTTTAATGAAGTTCTAATTTCCTTTAAAATCAGCCAATCCAAAGCTGCCCGTTTTTCAAGCTTTAAATTACATCCTGTGGAATCTACTCCTGATTCCAAACAAAAGGAAGTCCTTTCCCACTACAAGACTGTCACTTCTTCCGTATTCCATTCACAGCACATGTCAATTTCAATCCCTCCTAGTAGTTACATACAAATTCTAATTCCCCAACTACAGGGAGGGAGCCCAGGCAGGGTGAGTTGTCCATTCACTTCCGTCCCCCTCAGGTCTTGTCCACAGAGGCACTCAATGATACAGACTAAGGGGAACACAGTTCATCTCCTCACACAAATCCTGCAAGTACAGTGTACAACCGGGATTTGTGCTTATCATGCAAGAACCAAGCTAAACAAAGCTGAATATCTAGAGGACAGTCTGAGTTTGGACTAGAAATTTTTCACAGCTATAGTTACTAACCAATTTTAATAAAATATTATACCTATCTCTGTTGGTATCTAATGACATTTAAAAGATGTAACCTTGTTGACAAGTTACTTATCATAAGCTTGTCAAAATGAAATATTCTTATATTGCTTCTGCTTAAAGAGAGAAAATGCCAGTTTTGAGGTTAAAAAAAAAGGAAATTATCTAAGAAAAAAATTATTTCCATGTTTTTAAACAATCTTTGCATTAGAAGAGGTATTTAATAAGAAAAAATAACTTCAAAATTTGACAAGCTGAGTTTCAAATTCAGAACAAACTGTCACATGGACATTTTGGCTTCAAAAGTCATTTAGCCCAAGTATTTTTTAAAAATGCCACTCAGGAGAAAAAATTATCACATAAAAACTAATTTTTAAAATAACATTTAAAATATAGAGAATTCTTTAAAAGCTTAATAGTCTTATTATCATTTCTGCAGCCTTCCTAGCAAACTGAAACTTTAAAGAAAATTAGAACTTCAAAAAGCATTTCTGCTGATTACTTTTAGTCTATCCCACTCATCTGAGAATAAGAGAATGGGCTATGTTTAGTCATTTGAAATTGTATTTAAAGACCTTTCACAAAAACATGTGAATAATAATAATTGCTAATCACTTAGCTAGTGGATAACCCTAAATAACACTGACACTCTTTAACAGCCTGCTAAAAATAACATGCCTGCTAAAAATAATAGCCTGCTAAAAATTAATGCCATGACACAATCATACTTTTAGATAACATAAAGAAAGTGAAAATTTTAAGGACAAGATAGAGTATTAGAGTCCTACAGAAAAATGCAGTTGTCAGTCTATGGCTCGTAACAAACAAATCATGACCTGTGACGTCACTGGGCCTGGCTGCAGCAGAACCTGAATAGAGGCGGGTGGTGAACCCTGAGGAAAGAAGCGTCCTACTGAAGGCAGCCCGCCCGCTCAAACACCCTCACTAAGCATTTTCTCCAGAAAACGCAAGGCTTCACATGAGTGCTCCCAAGCCTCGGCTGGCATACCTGGTTACGGTGCTGACGGAGAAGTGGGACGGAGGCTGCGTCTCGTGCATGAGGAGCGTCAGATACACGCTGCTCTGGTCTCTCGCCACGGCCACCACGGGGTCAGCCTGTCCTTGGTCACACTTGTAAAACAGCTTTGGGACGAGCCTAACATAAGAGTCAGGTTTATTTCCCTTAGAAAGTATGTGAAACCCCTGCAGACTGCCCCGCGCCCTGTGTCACCGGCAAGCCCGACAACGTCTACCCACGGACACGTCCCCTGAGCGGCGGCACTGGTCAGGCATGCTGGAGCAGAGGCTCCCGACACAGCACGGTGCCCCACATCCCAGCTCTGAAATGACCAGGGGCTGGACTTTCCTCTCGTGTTCACACAGTGACATATGGCTCTCTGCACACGACTAAATCCTCTGAGTTAAAAAGCCTTCCTTCCGGGTGCTCCTCTAATCACCTCGGTCAGCATCAGCAGGTGTAGGAAGCCGCTGTGCGCAGGAGGCAGCGAGGCGGGTCCCTCCTCACTCCCGGGCTTTCTCTGCGGAACCGCCCACACCCCCAGGGGCAACATCCCAGCCGAGGCCCCTCTCAGGCGGGCTCTGAGGGTCAGAGAGGGAGGACAGGGACTCTGCACAAGCGCTCACACACCTACAGGTGGGCCTGTAACTCCCAGAAACAATCAACTGTTTGAAAACAGTGGTGTTCGAACCCCACTATCTTTAGTTAAAGTTTCTTTCCTCCAGGAAGACCTGGTCATAAATACAACTTTTTCCTAAGGTTTAATAAATTACTGTCACTCATAGAAAATGGTAAAGATTCAAGATCTTCGGTCAAGCAAGTCATACAAACCTAGTCAAGTCCCTGAAAAGGCACAATTCACAAGCAATCAAAGACAGGCACATGACTACACTGAAAACCCCTGGAGAAGGGAATGGCTACCCACTCCAGTATTCTGACCTGGAGAATTCCATGGGATCTATAGTCCACGGGGTCGCAAAGAGTCGGACACGACTGCGCGACTTTCACACTGAAAACCAAAGGGCTATCTACTAAAACACAACTGGTTTTCTTTGAGCAGTTTGACTACAAAGGTTTTTATATTTTTCCTGAGTTTTGTTTAGTAAACGTGTTATTATTTTTAAAACAAGATAAAAGTTATGTTAAAAAGAAACACCAATGACGGCCTAAGAAACTGACACATATTTAACTTTTTTGAAATGCCTGCTTTGGTGAAAAGACTCAGGCACGATCATATTCTGGTGGTGGGAGGGCAGACTGATCCGCTTCTGGACAGTAACTTCACTGCCTGCTCAGTCGCTTCAGTAGTGTCCAGCTCTTTGTGGCCCTATGGACCACAGCCCACCAGGCTCCTCTGTCCGTGCGATTCTCCAGTTAAGTACCAAAACCATAAAAACCCACTTGCCAGTATCTACCCCCAAGAAATGAAAACGTACGTCCACTCAAAGTCTTGGAGGCAAGAGTTTAAGCAGCATGATTCATAACAGTCAAAAAGTGAAAATAATCATATTGCTTGGTGAATGTATATATAAAACACAGTATTATCTAGATAACAGAACGCTGTTAAACAATGGAAAGAACAAACGATGGGCACACACCTCATAGCATGGATGAACTTCAAAAACTGAGTGAAAGAGAATCAGATGCAAAAGTCCCTCTACGGACTGTGTGCTCTCATTTACATGAAGTGTGTAGAAAAGGCACACGCTCCTCGAGAGACAGGAAGTGGATGAGTGGTTGCCTATGGCTGGGTAGGAGTGGGAGTTACTGCAAACGGGCACAGTAGATCTTTTTGAAATGATGGAAATACTCTAAAGTTGGATTGTGGTGAAGGTTGCACAACTCTAAGTTTACCAAAAATCATTAACTGTACACTTAAAATGGGTCAATTTTAAGAGATAAAAAAATCTTACTTCAATAAGCTAATAGGGAAAAAAAAAACACAAAAAGGTTGTTTGGCCTAGTAACTCAACTTCCAGGAATTAATTCTTAGAAAAAAAAGTTGTATGTAAACATTTATGCATTATACTAGTCACTACATAAACATTTATGTATAATACTAAGTCACTGAACCATTATTCATTATCTAAATCAATAAAAACTTAGCATCCAACCAAATAATATTTACAAAAAAATTTATCAAAACTACACTGTGAAAAAGTGGCCACTAACTAAAAATTTCTTGTACACAGTATTTACAGCCTTTCTTTATCTCACACTGTATGAAATGTCATGCACTTCAGTACAGAAATATGAACACATCTCAACAGACAGAGACACCCCAGACAAAGGTGGTAGTTAAAGAGTCTTTTTTAGAAGAGTATTTCTCACAGGAAAATACTAATGATCATTATGTGGAAATTAACAGATAACAAAATTGCATGTACACTTTGTCCCAATTTTGAAAAAGAAACTTGTACATAGGACATAAAGCAAAAAATGTTAACAGTGGTTATCTCCAGTGGGAGGACTAGAGGTGATTTTTATTTTCTTCTTAGTGCTATTCTCCATATTTCAAAAATCTGACCATCAGAGTACATTACTTTTACAATATGAGACTAAAACTTTATTGTTGTCTTAATTTTCATTTTAGATTCTTGAGACAGTGAAAAATATGCTTTTTGATAGCTTAAGAGTAACCAAAAGTGAGGTCAAAGATTTAGGAATACGCCCTATGGCCTCCAAATTTTCACCTCTCTTCCCACTGTCATATCGTTTAGTACTTTAACCAAGAAGGTGAATGGAGAGAGAAAATACTGGGCAAATACCTCATCAACGAAGCGGCAGCAACATGCCGCACCCTGGGGTCTTCATCTCCAAGCAGATAGATGACAACATTATTGAGCACCCGCTCTTGCAGTTTTAAAAGCTTTGGAAAGAAAGATAAAAACAGATCTGATCTCTGTATTGAAATGAATTTTAAGTCAGGTATCCTGGAAAGCCAGTGAAGAAGAACTCAATGTCACTAGCCCTAAAGTCACACATACGATCACAAGCTTCATGATACAAAGCATTCCTAGAAATCCCACACTAACGGGAAGGTGCACTCCTGGAAGTTAAATCACGGCCTCCCAGACATGAAGGGCTTACCCCTGTGTAGTGATGGGCCCCTCTGTGCAGCGTTTCTGCTTTGGCCTCCAGAAAGCTCACCAACCTAACACAAAGAACATATTTCACGGTGAACAATTCAGTTACCGAACAGAGCCGCACGGATGGCCTGCATGACCACAGAGGAGGAGGACAGCCACGCCAGGGCCGCAGGCGGGAGCCAGGGAAGGCTCTGCGGCAGCCCCACGTTACACGGCAGGAAGGCACCTGCTTCCAGCTGGGAGCACCCACGCTCCTCCCGCCTCCAGACTCAGAAAGCACTCAGCACTTTTCTTCAAAGTGAATATAAACGTCGGGTATTTTGAAAGACCCCAAGTGCCCTACAGAACTAGCTCAGACACTTGTAGGTGGTGGGAAGGCAGACTGGGGAGGGGGCTGAGACTCCAGCCCCCTCAGAGGCGGGTCCCCCCCTCCACCACCTGGGGTCCTGCCTGTGAGACACAGCGGGAAGCAGCCCGGACTTCACAGACATGTTCTAAAGCTGAAAGACAATAACCCAGAGGGCGCCAGCCCAGCCCGGCACACAACCAGCCCTCTACAAACGGGGGCTTTAAAAAAAACACAAACTCAGACGAAAAAGAAAATTCCCCATCTAAAAGAAAGCATAGAAAGAAAATGTGGAATCATACTTTCTCAGAAAATGATAAACTGCAAGGCGTCAGAAGTTACTCTTTAATTGTGACAATACCAATCTGATGTCTGACCTAGGCTCAGTACAGCGAGGCATGGATCCGTTTAAACAGGCCCAAGTGACACAAGCTTCACTGTTTCAAAAGCCTGAGCTCTTTTATTCACACTGTGCAGAAACTCGAATGACTAAGAATATCAGAAAACCCCACTCCTCTGCCTGGACGTAAAAACTCCAGGGCGAGGGTGAAGGCTCGGAAGGGAGGGGCAGACACAGAGGGACACAGGGCACCGCCCGCGCCATTCAAGCCTGACCCAGCGGGCCCGCCTCACCCACCTGAAGTCGATCTCTGCCACGGTCTCCAGAAGCTCCGTCCTCACCAGCCAGTAGGCGCTGCTCCGCAGGGCCAGCAAGTCGGTGATGAGCTGCAGCCCCCACGCACTGTAGCTGCTGCTGCAGAGGCTCACGACGCAGAGCTGGAGGGCAGGCAGCCGCTGGGTCTCTGCAGACCCCCACACGCGCCCCTCCCCATCCCCGCCCCGTCTCCCTCTCTCACAAACACTGACCACACACACGTGCCTCAGTCACCTCGAGGTGGAGCGTGAGCGTGTCGCCACCACAGGACGCGGCTCTCTCCCCCACCCCTGCCTCCATCCAGGCCTGCCCGCCCCGACACCGGGCACGCGCCGCCCCTGCTGAACCCCCGGCCGCCCCAGGCCCAACGCCATGACGCGGGGCCTGCGCCCTGCCCGATGGGACCCGGCACTGGGCCGCCCAGGCTCCGAGGCTGCATCTCGCCTGCCCCAGTGCGCGCGGGGCAACTCCGCACGCAGCCTGCTGAGTGCTGCTGACCGGCTCCCTTCTGCCCCAGCAGACACAGACCGACCGACACCTGGCGAACACCTGGGACCAAGGAGCAAGTCTGGCCGGGCCATGACATTTTAAAGGGGGACATAAGTCTGACAATGGTAGGGTCTGGGGCTTGATTTTTACTGCTTAACGTGGACTGCTGTTGGGCCAGTTGTGAGTTCTGAACCAGCTGATAGAGCATTCAACATGCTACCCCATAAAGGCCTGGGGCCGTCCCCCCACCAACACCACAGGGTATTAAATAACCCCCGTGCCTCAGTTTGTGCATTCAACGGGCCTGAAAGAGCTGCTGCGTTTTAATTCAACAAGTTTTACACTTAATATGAGCAAGGTAGAGATACCCTTTAAGAAACGTGTATTTCAAACAAATATTCTGAGATTTAAACCGAAGTCTATTAACCCTTGACTCTGTTGGCACTGTTTTCCTTCTGAGGCTGATAGGTAGATACACAGATGTTTATTACTGTTGCAAATGGAAATATTTAATATTAAGCTTAAGTTTTCATTGTTACCATTGGTGAAATTACCACTAATCAAAGAACTGATATCCACCAACGACTATGCTCACCCTCACAGCTGCACAAGCCAACTTGCAGGTCACCGAGGATTCGTCCTTCAAAGCCTTCTGCAGCAGGGGGATGCAGTCCGCCAGGGAAAACGCATTTCCTGCCCGGAAGAGCAAGCACAGACGCCTTCGTGTGAGCCTCAACATGAGGATGCCGTCCAGGAGCGACGACATGGAATGCTGAACACTGAAAGCTGGTAGTTACCTGTCCGGGCTCTGACGGCGCCCATCCAGGCCGCCACGTGGAAGCGGCACCTGCGGAGGACGGAGCAGATGAGCGTCCCGCAGAGGATGGCTGTGGCTCCTCGGACCTGCGGGTCCCCGTGCTCGATGTAGTTCAAGACGTCCGACACGTACTGCTCCTCTGCGGAGAGAAATGGCCCGGCCACTGTACAGGTCCCTACCGTCAACTTTCTAACTCAAGGCAAAGGCTGAATTCCCAGGCAAGAAAAGGGCGAGGGAGCGATGCTGATCCAGAAAGACCTGCCTGTAACAGCCGTCCGTGGTGAAAACATCCCAGGTTTAAAGAGCCTATATTCACCACATCCCTGACACCACTCCAACACAACAGTTTCCGGGTTATAATTCCAGGTTGTCAAGCTTTTGCTTCAAGAAAATGACATGAGTCTCAAACTTGTCCACACTTATTATCTAATATAAATTCAAAAGCATGGGTTTGTCCCCTCACCCAAGGAAAGAGAGAGTGAGAGAGTAGGCAGGAGCATAACTTTAGGAGAGCAGGCTTCCCCCAGTCACCCCACCAGAGCAGATGCCCAGGACGTGCACTGTGGGAGACTGGCCGCTGCCGCCCAGCTCATCTCAGTCCCCGCCGGCTCTGAGTGTGAAGGGCTCACTCCCCACCGGCTCTGAGCGTGAACGTCCTGCTCCCCACTGGCTCTGAGCGTGAATGGCTCGCTCCCCGCCGGATCTGAGAGTGAACATCCTGCTTCCCGCCGGCTAGGTGTGAATGTCTGGTCTGGCTGGTGTGACCTGAAGTAACTTTGATTATACACAATTTGTGCATGTTAATAAGCTCTTATATTCCCAGATTTCTATTGCTTTCCTCTGTGTGTTTCAACTAAACACTGCATCTGCAGGGGGTCCAAGAAGCTAAAAACATGACAATTGATGTGTTTTACGGAGAGTTATCACACAGCTCAAACGCTGCAAATTAACTCAGAAAACTTGGTGCTCTAAAACTAAAATAGTCAAGAGTTTGAAATAGTTTTCAAACCAGTGACTAAACATGAGGAATGAGACACAAACTGTGAACGTACCAGGGTACTCCATGGTGTCCAGCGGTGCTCTGTAGAGTTTGCCGAAAAAAGATTCAGGATGAAGGGCCACGGCGGCTCCAACGCAGCTGAGGGCCAGGGCCTTCACGCTGACCCGCACGTCCCTGTCTGGAACCAAGGCTGTGAACAGATCCGCCCCGGTCGCCGTCAGCATCACAGCAGCAAATCTTTAGCTTCCAAACAAACAAAGCCAGCCCCAGGAAACCAGCCTCCCCCAGCCTTCCCCATCAGTCGGTGAAAACCAAAGCTCGTCTCCAGCTTCTACTCTGTCAGCTGCAACCAGGCTCAGAGCTAGTGACCAAGGTGACCTCTGAAGCCTAAAGTCATTCCCTTCAACTCTGCACCTGCCTTTTGATCCTCACCGTTTCTTTCCCCTGTGAGTAAAAATGAAGCAGACAGAAGGCGGACACAATGGACAAGAGGGGCGGAGTCCTCATCAGTGGACTGGCCAATGTCGCCTTTGATCCGGCAGGGCTGTAAAGAAAAAGCAACACTTATTCGTCTTTCATAATCATGGAACTTACGCGCTGATTCCTTAGTTCATCCAACAAGGAATTCCAGAGCAGGAACTGTGCCAGGAGCTTGGTGTTCAGATCCGTGCCCGACCTCACAGGCCACGGTGGGGCAGGATCAGACCCCCAGGGGGAGTCCTGACAGGGGGCCCCAAGGGCTGGGGCCGAATGAGACAGCAGGCAAGGAACACGCCGCACAGGCGGAGGGGAGCGCCCAGGGACGCCCGAAGCTGCGAGGGGAGGCCGCTCCCGGAGGAATGGCCCAGGTCGAGACGGTGACGCAGCGCCCAGGAGGGACTCAGTGTGAGACACTACTTCCCGCCCTTGAGGGTTAAAACTAGCCGGGAGTACAGGACACTGGCATGGAAAAGGCAAGCAGCACAGAGAGAATACTGAAACAGCTCAACAGACAACTGAGCAACGCCTAAGAAAACCAAACCACCTGAGTTAAAAACGGGCAAAGGACTTCAAGAGACATTTCTCCAGAGAAGATACGTGAATGGCTAATTCACTCATGAAAAGATACTCCACATCTCTAATCATTAGGGGAGATGCAGGTCAGAAACCACAATGATACACCACTGCACACCCAGTGTGATGATCTTCTCAAAAAAAAAAGAGGCGAGGAAAGTGTTGGTGAAGATGTAGAGGAATGCAATGCTGGTACACCGTGAGTGGGAACGTAAGATGGTGCAGCAGGGACTTCCCTGGGGTTAAGACTCCGTGCTTCCAATGCAGAGGGTGCAGGTTCAATCCCTGGTCAAGGCACTGAGACCCCACATGCCACATAGCGCAGAAAATAAATAAAAGAAAGCTGTGCAGCTGCTGTGGAAAGCAGTACAGGGCTGCATCAAAAAGTTAGAACCAGAAGCATCACACAGTCCAGCACCTCCACTTCTGGTATATTACCCACAAGAAATGAAATCAGGGTCTTGAAGAGGTATTTGTATACTCTCTGATAACAGCATTATTTACAACGACAAAAGGTGGGGAGTCACCCAAGTGTCCATCAACAGATGAAGAGGAAAGCAACATGTAGTAAACACATGCACTGAAACATCATTCAGTCTTAAAAGGGGGAGGGAATTCTGACACCCGCTGTAACACGGATGACCCTGAGGACACAAAAGGACAAATACTGCATGATTCCACTTATGAGAGGTCCCCAGACTAGTCAGATTCAGAGAGACAGAAAGCAGAATGGTGGGTGAGAGGGGCCAGAGCGGGGGGAGGAATGGGAGTCAGTGTCGAATGGAGACAGTTTCAGCCTGGGAAGATCGAACAGTCCTGTGAACGCCGTGAGGATCGCTGCACAACGTGTGGGCACGTAATGCCGCTCGGCTGTGCCTTCAGAAGGGTTGCGATGGAGAACTGCACGAGTATCTACCATGATAAGTAAACAAATAATTCAGCGGAACAAAACCAAGAAACGCTGCCAGGCCACACACTACCATCACATGGACGGTCGAAGAAATCAGAACCTCGGGCAGTTCTCAAGGACGCACCCAGACCTCGGGAGGCAGATAGCAGAGCAGACTCGAGACTGATCTGTGAGAGGGACGGGTCTGAGCGGAGGCGCAGCCACGGGAGAGCCAGGAGCGCGGCGGCCGGACGGCAGCCAGGGCGCGCTTCAGCACGCAGGCCCGCGCGGGACGTGGCGTGGTCTCGGGCCCCGGTGTCTCACCTTGCTCTCCGGATCCCCTGGTTCGGCAGCTTCCTCTCGTGAGACAAATGTACCCACACTGCTGCCAGAGGCCTGCCTGCCGTGGCCCACGCTCTCCAACAAATGTGCTTGTTGAAGGGCTTCAAAATCAAAGAAAGAGACGAAGTCAGGCGACCAGTTCCCAACTAAGACACAAACACCCACATCGACACAGTCAGCACCAAAGCACAGGACTTAGGCCAAAAAGGATGACAACTTCTCAACCGGTTTTCCTCCTTGCTGTTTACAACTCAGGAAACAGACACCAGAAGACTTCTTGGAAGTTAAGATGTAAGAGGTCAGGGCTGAAAGCAAGGCCACTTGGTAGTACAGTAAGGCCCCTACATACGAACTTTCAAGTCACAAACTTCCCAAGATGTGAGCATGTGTTCACTTTCTAATCACGTAAGCTAGCTCGGGGCACACTGCACCCTCTACAAGCGTACTCGAGAGAGATAGTACTGTATACAGGAGCTGATGTTCAGTTGCTCAGTCGTGTCCGATTCTCTGTAACTCCATGGACTGCAGGACACCAGGCTTCCCTGTCCTTCATCATCTCTTGGAGCTTGCTCAAATTCATGTCCATTGAGTCTTTATTTCAAGTCCAGGAAAAAGTAGGAAAAGTATTATAAACCTATTACAGTACAGTCCTATATGGCCGATCGTGTTAGCTGGATACCTGGGTTCACTTTGCTGGACTTAGGAACACAATCTCGGAATGGAGCCTAGTCGTGTGTTGGGGACTTACGTACACCGCCTAAAGTCAACATACCGATGGAAGAGTTTCTGAAAGCCTCCGTGTCTTCGTCAGGAAGAACGGCAGCAGCGTCCTCATCCTCGTCCTGCATCGGCCCCACCTGCATCCCTGGGTACTGGCTGTCGGTGCCATCTAACACCTGAACGTGCAAGAGGGGCTGTGAGGCTTCTGAAGTGCCACCACCAAGGGGCAAGCCCTCCAAGGTGGAAAGGCAAAGGCAAAACCCCGTAAGCAATGTGGACCATGACATCTTACACACCAATATGAAGGTTATCTCCTCAAAGGCACGTGGGTACGGCATGAACAGTACCAAGAGCTTACTGATCGCACACTACCACATTATGGAAAGCTTTTGTGATTCTAAAAATGCCAAAGAAATCCCAATGTGGACATTTCTCTTTTTTGATTACAAAAAGACAAAAATCCAAACAAAAACCTTTGTGTTCACAAGCTAATTTTAAACAGCAAGTCAAAAATGAGGAAAAGTCTTCTAAACAAAAGTCTAACAATAGGTTACCCCCTAAACTGCTAGGACTGACCCAACTAAGTTTGGGGCACAGTATTTCATATATCTAGCCATACACACGGCTGATGATTTCATACTGCCAAATTTCTCACATCCACTTGAAATCCCCTGTAATTTACCTGAAAAACTGAGTGAAAGACCCTATGTTAGTAGATTATTACTGAAATAAATTCTGTATCATTCAAAATATTATTCCTTCCAATTAAAATTAAAAAAATAAAACTGAGCTGTTAATACATGAACAAAAACAATCAAGAAAGAAACAAATTTTCTCCACTCTCCAGATGACTAAAAAAAAAAACACCCCACACAGGCTAAAGTGAGAAGTTCTATAATAAAAAACAACATTTTCTGAAAATGCCCGGCTAGCGTGAAAGCACCCCCACATATTACGTTGCTTATCCCCACAAGCCCCAAAGCATCAAGCACCATCACCAGCTTCAGTCTGTGGGTGAGGAAACGGGGACGCAAGGGCCACAGCTGCAGAGGCCGCCCAGCTCCCGAGCCAGAGCTCTCACGGGGCGGGGCTCCCTGCAGGCCACGCCCCAAGCCACCACACAGGCCGGCTCCTGAGGAAAGCCCAGCCTCTCCAGCTGGCTCCTTTCTCTCTGTGGCACTTGCTGCCATCTGACTGTGTGTATTTACCTGCCAATGACTGGCTTATGACCCGCCCTACGCAGACACGCACTCTGGAACAGAGGAAGGGAAGTCTGGCCCCTCAGCAGCGTTTGTAAACAGTTTCACTGGAACACAGCGCGCTCACTCCTTCATGTCTGCCTACGGCTGCTCTGGCCCTCCACTAGCAGAGGCGAGTGTGCAATGCCAGCAGGCGGCTCGCAGGGCCAAGGGGGTTCACTCTCTGGCCCCGACGGAGAGCCTGGGGCCCCCCTCAGAAACGCCAGCTCCAGGAGAGCAGCTTTGCATGCTGTGCCCTCTGCTTCACCCCCAGTTTGTAGAACAGTCCCTGGAACGTAACAGGTGCTCAGCGCATTTGTTCAGCAAACAACTCGGACTAAATAAAAGACATGGAAGCATCTCATAAACTAGAAAGAACTCTGCAGGGGTGAGAAACATCAAGGGGAGACATTTAGTTCCCTGCAGGCCAGAGCCCGGCGTGGGCCCCTGGCACAGCCATGCCCCACAGCACACAGCTGCTGCAGCAGCTCCAGACGGGATGCTCACACGACTTCCTTGTGGTCGTTCTGTCCAATGTCTAGAGAACCCGTCTAGAAAGCATTACCTATAAAAAGGCAAGACGGGCTTCCCTGGTGGCTCACAGGAAAAGAATCCACCTGCCAATGCCAGAGACATGGGGCAGATCCCACGTGCTGAGGAACACGAAGCCTGAGAGCCACAACTCCCGAGCCTGGGCTCTGAAGCTGCAGGGCTGCAACCACTGAAACTGGAGCACCCTACAGCCTGAGCTCCAAAACAAGACAGCAGTCCCTGCTTGCCACGACTAGAGAGAAGCCTGTGCAGCAACGAAGGCCCAGCACAGCCAGGAAATTCAGAAAAAAAAAAAGGCAAGACGCAAGTTGGTACAATCAGCTGACGACAGAAACTTCCTCCGCTCACTTAACATGCTACTGGGAGCAGCACTTCCCCAATCTCCCCTTCTCCCTGCCTCCTGGTCAGCACTCTTCCCCTTTCCTGACTCGAAATCATTCCCACAATCCAGTTACCCTATCTTCTGCCAGGTCTTCTAGCTAAAAACCCCAATGGTGAGCCCACTCCTCCAACTGAGACAGTGGAAACCCACTGGGCCATCAGAAACCACATCCACGTGACAACTGGACCTGCCAGTGCTTCGTGACGTGTTTCTCAAAGCTTCTGCATTCACTACTGTTTAAGAAAAAATTCATAATAAATAGAACACATTCAATAGTACCAAAACAATTGCCAGTAGAAATTGTTTATATAAAATTGGGCTGTAAAACTCAGTTTATGCCAGTACCAAACTTCGGACCACTCCGGAGGGCTTCGTGTCCACTAACTCAGAGACGAGAGGTAACCAGAGACATGCTCCAGAAGACGGGCTATGTAGTCAGGGTTCTTGAAAAGTCAGAAAGTACTAAAATGATGCACAGTATTACTGTTATTAGTCATACTGCATTAAGACTGCAGATCTGTTAATAACAGGTTCATTAAGAATCTTCACAATACTGACTTACCCTGTGCCCAAAAAGGTATTAAAAATTTCAAATGCACTTGATGGCACTCATCAACTAACCTAACTTTTGACCTCCGTGTTCAACACAAAGGACACTTGGCCGTCTCCTTCAGGGAAGGTCTCCGACGGGGCTGAGCTGCTGATTTAGGATCTGAGCTGGGGACCTCTACACTGCTATTCACATGTCAGAGGGATGGAATGAACAGGCAGGAGGGTCCAGGTGTGGGGCCCCAGGGAAGGCCCCTCTGCAGAAACCGGGTTGTCCCTTTGACCACTTACAATTTCAGAACTGTCGGAAGGGGTCACGGCTGAATCGGGCCCCTCGGTGGTGGTCTGGGAGCTGTCGCTGATGGGCGAGGAGGCCTGGGTCCCATCGTTCAGGTCCATGGCGGGGTCGGAAGGGACAGCGCTCATCTGGCTGGAGCTGTGGCTCAGGATGTCCTCCTCGTCCCCGTCGGTGGCGGTGCTCGCCAAGTCACAGGCAGCCAGATCCACCGAGTCCGTCTGAAGCGTGTGCTGCGACCGGGGCTGCTCGGTGATAATGTCGTGACCCACAGAGTCGGCCGCTGAGCTGGTGGAGCCGGGGGTGGAGACCCCGGAAGAGGCAGCCAGCTCACCTCCGACCTCACCCTTGACTGAGGCTGCAGACAGAGGAACATTCACTCTTCAAAGGGTCAGCAAGAGAATGCAATGGGGAACCATATACTTGTAGAATACCCCCAAATTCACTGTCAGCACCTGTTTTAACTGTAAAACGTCCTTAAATACAGTGAAAACATAACTAGTCAATTTCAAAAGCAAGACAAACAGTGCATTCTCCAAACATTTTGACTGTATTACATAAGTAATTATCTTTTACTCTATCACTATATTGATAAAATAAGGATCTTGAATAGATATTTTTAAATGCTATGAATATTCCCAAGTGGCATTTCACCGCCAACTCTCAAGTTTGACAAGCAACATTTGTCAAACTACCTCCAGCTCTCAAGAGGCTGCTCCGTCCTGAGGGCGGAGCAGCATGGAGATTCTGGTGACTTCCTGGCAGCCTGGCTGGGGTACAGGCAGAGTGCTCACAAAAGCTCGGAGCAAGTGGCGCTCTGAAAAGTGGGCTTTCCATCTTCCCAGACCCTGTTCACGACCCCTCAGCCAGTCTCACTCCCCTGCATCATCAAGTTTCACATTTCCCTAGTCTTTAACTCCCATTTAAAACCACCACCACCCTACATAAGAACCCACACCAAGCTGTGAGCTGTGTCACTCCTGGAAGTTCGGGGGTCAATGAGCACCGGGGCTCATGGATAGCTATAATTTTTTTTCATGTTTAACTTTATTTTTGTAATTTAAAAAATCTACCCACTCCAGTGTTCTTGGGCTTCCCTGCTGGCTCAGATGGTAAAGAATCAGCCTGCAACGTGGAAGACCTGGGTTTAACCCCTGGGTTGGGAAGATTTCCCTGGAGGAGGGCATGGCAACCGGCTACAGTATTCTTACCTAGAGAATCCCCATGGACAGAGAAGCCTGGCAGGCTACTTACTGTCCACGGGGTTCTATTTTGTAGAATAAACCAGTAAGTAAATAATCACCAATGAAAAGTATTCTGACTTTCTTTCCCTGTATTTTCAGTTATCTAAAAATATTCATTTGGCTAGGGTTATACAGACCAAACCACTCTCAAATGGTTTTCATTTTTTCCATGTGTTACTATAGTCTGTCTCACTGATTGACTTGTGGATACTGAAAAGCCTCCACATCCCCGGGATAATCCTGCTTGACTGGATCTATGTTCATCAGTGATACTGGCCTGAAATTTTCTTGTTACTGTATCTTTGTCTTGTTTCAGTTTCGGGGGATGGTGGCTTCACAGAATGAGTTTGGAAGTATTCCTTCCATGCAATTTTTTGGAACAGTTTCAGAAGGATGGGTGTCAACACTTCTCTAAATGTTTGGGAGAATTCACCTACGAAGCCATCTGATCAGGGACTTTGCTGGTTAAGAGCTATTACTGATTCACTGTCAATACTGATAACTGGTTTGTTCTTACTTTCCATTTCTTCCTGGCTCAGATCCTCAGACAATTTTTAATCCCATCTTCCTCTTCACAACCCATGCAATTCATGAGATACTTTACCTACCATTCCCTTCTCAAAAAGACTTACACCCAGGGAGTATAAACCTAATTTTAAAACAGCTTGAAAATAGCATATATTTGATATAGGAAAACATACTATACAGGAAAATAGCAAATATTTGATCCAAGAAAACACACAGATAGTGTTTCAAAGTAAACACTATGGAAGAAGCCTCAATTTTGCAGCATCTGAGCAAGCTGGCTTCACGGCTGCCCCCGAGGAGCACGACCCACTGAGGCGCAGGGGTCAGCGGAGAGGAGCAAGGGGGACGCGCTACCTGAGAAGGCGGGGCTGCTGCCCTCCGACCTGGACTCTGAGCCGTCCTCCAGGGGTGCCGCTTCTCCGAAGAGCACTTTCCCTAGGGAAGGACACAGCGAGAGACCTGAGCCTGCTACAGGAAGAGCTCTGGAAGCCAAACAGATGGACATTCCAAGAGGAAAGCCACGAGCACATCTAATTCCTGCTCTCAGCCTGTCATCATATACATGCTTCTTTATTCCCCCAGAGTGCTAACACAAAATGCAGAGATGTCCTATTTAGAGTATTATTAAAATCACAAACCTGTATGAAAAACAGATAAAAGCACTAATTCTCAATCTGTACCACAAAGTATTTTAATAATCAATACTAATTGACTTAAGACTACTGTCAATGTTAAATAATTTGTTACTATTTAATCTTAAAAATATCAAGTTATAGCTAGAACCCATTCTATTAGCTGCCAGGATATTCATGTCATAACTCCAACAAAAAGTCACTTTTATTATCAGTTAACTTGCTGGATTTCTACTGCTGATAACCAGTACTCAAGTACTGTATGATCTGGGAGGATGGAATAGTATTTCACCTTTAGCAAATTTCTAAAAATACATTTTACAGTTAATGAGTTCCAAATTATAATAAGGAAAAAAGAAAACAAAAGTCTTAACATGATTTAAGTGGGATCGTTTTATCTTTATGGTTACTTTACATACAAAGGTCATTAAATGACATTATCAAAATAATTACTGGCAAGTTTCAATTTCTAACTTCACTCCTCTTCAATGAGGAAGTCACAGGTGTGATAACTGCCATAAATCTACACTAATGTGACTTTAAAGCCCTCCTCCCATCCAGGAAAAAGCAAAGGAAACTCAAGATCTAGATGAAACTAACACAGCAACTTGGCTTATCTACTAAATAACACAGCCCTTTATTACAGAGCAAGTGGTTTATCTTGAGAAAGCAAATAACACTCCAACCTGTGAATTCAGAGTTAACGAAAGCAGCCTCTGTCTTTGGAAACAGCAGTCTGCAAGTCTGTTCCAAGGAGTTCTCCCCAAGAGGGGGCAAGGCCAGGCCACGCCCCCCACTCTCACCCTGATCTGACATCCAACAACAACTGTTTCTGTCTCTTATGTACTGGCAGATCTCACCTGAAGCTATGATAGAAAAGTATGATAACTGTAGCTCTAAATGAAAACAACAAAACACTCAAAAAATAAAACAAGAGCTTGAGCACAAATTCTACATTCCAGCCCCCAAAAAACATCTCAACCAGAATCTGTCATTGCCTCATCATCAGAAAGAGACCAAGAGACGAGGCAAGCGCCAGGGAAATCTAGTCACACGCCTGAAGTCTCCTCCCCATCCAAGGAGAGAAACATGAGCTTCGGACAGAAGCCTTTCAGCTTTCAAGCAATCTCAGGGTTTTCACCAAGATCTCAAACTTGAAAGGATCCCACACCATGATGATCTGTTCATGCATGCATGAGTGCAAAGCCACCTCAGTCGTGTCTGACTCGATGCAACCCCACAGACTGTAGCCCACCAGGCTCCTCTGTCCATGGGGATTCTCCAGGCAAGAATACTGGAGTGGGGTGCCATTTCCTTCTCCATATGATGATCCAAATATGGTTAATTCTAAGTATTCTAGGAAACATTTACTTAATCCAGCCAGGACTAGAATATTATTCCTATAAAGATCCCATTCAATATTACAAATAATATTATTAGGCATTAGATGCTCTCAATTAAATACTCAAGACACACAAAAAATTAGCATATGTAGAAGATTAGTTTTTATATGTCAATTTAAAAAAAAAGGAGAAGTCTTTTAGGATTTCAAAATAGAAAACAGCAATAGTTTCCTATGGAAATCTAGAGCGGAGGAAGAAAATAATTGGTGCTGTAAGCAATGATGTATACCAAAACTTTCAGACCATGTCAGAAGAAATTTGATTAAATATAAATAATTATATCAGAAAAGGTGGGTATGTACAAAGGTAAATATGGCTGAAAAATGACAACCAGGCCCAATTTAACCAAATAATTAACCAAACATTATCCCTGACTAATACTAAGCAAGTTTCTTTGGGATGATGAGCTGCCTTTATAAGCAGAACATCCCTTGGAGCAGGAGTTGGCAACTAAATAAAGCTGTGCTGGAAGTCAGCTGTGCCCGTTAGCTTGGCACTGTCCGTGCCTGCCTTCTTGCCACAGGACAGAGCTGCAGCCCTGCACAAAAAGGACTCTACGGGCCACCGCCTGGCCCTTCACAGAAAACGTCTGCTGACCCCTCACCTAAAGCATGAGAAATGTATGACAGGGAATTCCCTGGAGGTCCGGTGGTGAGGACTCAGTGGTCTCACTGCCGGGCCCGGGGTCAACCCCTGGTCCCAGAAGTCACATGGTGCGGGCTGCCCTTCGCCCCCCTCAAAAAAAGAGAAATTTACAATAAACCAATTCTGATCAACAAGTAACTTTCTGAAGCCACCCAATAGCACTATTCGGGCCTGGTTATCAGATTTCAGCTGCATTTATATACACAATCACCTTGCTGAGAAGAGGTACAGGCATAGCCAACTGCATCAGAGAAATACTGAAAAAGCAGGAAGATTGAAAATAACAATCATTTCTGAAATAATCACCTTTTTGTTTTCTTGAAAGGACAGGGCTGCATGAAGAACCCCCTCCAGCTGTAAGTCACAGAAAATGACAGATGAAAGTGCAGTACCAAGCAGCTGAAATCCAGACACCATTAGAAAATCTTCAAGCTTGATTCAACTTTAGAAAATACAGGAACGTTATTTCTACAGGTGGGGCTTACCCACCATCCTGTAACATAAAAACTGCATAATTTTAACTGCAATAACTTGAAAATTACATTAGCACTCAAAAATACAGTTCTAAAGATATGACCTAAAATGTCAGAAGAGCGCAAAGTGCATTTAAAAAGCCAAACTAAAAACATCAGAAAACCCAGATTATTTGGTCAACCAAGAATCAAACAGACATTTTCCTCAGACACAGTCATCAGAAACCAGACCACTGGACAGTGATCACTCGGCAGGCCTGCACCCACGGGAAGGGCTGCTCAGGACAAAGCCCGGAGGACAGGCACAGCAGCAGTTTCTCCGTGGGGTTCAGGCAGACACCCTGACCTCACGAGGCAGCGGGCGGACGTCGCAGCCTCCCTGGTCTCTGCTGACGGTGAAGACCACCCTTGCCCGCACTGCACTGAGCAGACCCCACACGCAGGGCCTGGTGAGGCCGGTCCGCAGAGGCCCAAAAGCCTCCGCTGCGCCAGACCCGGCTCCAGAGGCTGCCGCTCGGGGACCCCTGACTTCCAGCTCCCCAGAGGCAACTCCGAGTCAAGCAGGGCGGTCTGCAGCAGCAGCATGTGGCGGGGTCAGGGCCCCGTAGTACCCAACAGCACAGGGAAAAACAGCCAAGGTGGGGGAGGAGGGGCCGTGGAGGAGGGATGGAGGGCTGCCGAGAGCCAGCTGGGGCCGCAGAGCAGGGTCCAGAGGACAGCAACGGCCTCGAGGGCCCCAGGGAGACCCCAGGGTCTGTCACGGGCAAACCGCACCAGCACTCTCGCTTTCCAACAGATGAACCGCCACGTGGAGGCGGCCGAGTCCGGGTCAGGAGGCCGGGTGCCCGTACTGGCCTCACCTCACCCGCCCGCACCCCCAGTTCCCGGGTGCAGGAGTAAGGACAACACCTGCATCGTGAGTGCCGCGAGCAACTGACGCCCGTGGCTCACCAGCACCAGGGCCAGAGTCACGGCTGAGTGGACTCCAGAGTGGCCGTCCGAACACCCTACCTATCAGCTCCACGATGCTCCCGCTCCGACTGCGGCCCCCGGGCTCATCCTTGGCGGCAGCGAGCTGCCGGACGCCGCCCGCCGTGGTCAGGACGCGCAGGAGCTCGGGCGGCGGGGTTCGGAGGAGCTGCTGCAGCAGTTCCAAGGCCCCAGTCACAACGTTGTGGTCCTGGTGTTGGGTGTAGTGCAAAGTCAGCTCGTACACCTAGGAACAGGAGCACCGCATTACCGCCAGCCATGGCCTTGACAATGTGTCCCAGCCTCCAGGTGTTTTGCTTTTGTCTTTTGTTGTGAAAATGTATGCCTTCTCCCGCTAAAAACTTCTCTATCTCTTCTACCAGCGTAACGATTCGCTTCCATGGTTTTCTAAAGTCCCGGGACTTTTTTCACGGTTATAGTAATTCCTTAAAAATAAGCAGACCACTTCCACAAAAGAAGCATGGTAATGGAGGGCTCCATCTCCCTACACTGGGGACCAGGAAAGGAGAATCAAGTCCCAAACACACCGTGCGCACAGTTCCTCAGACACACACAACAAGCAAGCCGTGCTGGCCAGAGTGCACTAAGGGTTTCCAAAGCCTTTAAAGGCATCACATCACACTTTACACTGCATCACATTATATGAACATAATGGATTTACCCCTTTCTCCTTCATTAGAGGTGCCAGATAATACACAGAGTGCCCAGTTAAACGCGAATTTCAGATAAACAAAGAATTCCGAAGTGTAACTGAGCGCCGTGAGATTTCCGGCCTACTTACCCAACAAGGTTACTGGTGATTTACCTGAAATTTAAGTAACTGGTGCCCTCTACCTTTATTTGCTACGTTGGGCAGCCCTACCTGTGACGTCACAGAAGTAATACATATTTTTTATAACGACAGTATAGCAGTGTGTAAGGTGAGTCTCAAAGGTGGCAACTTTGACTCACCTGTTTCTACTTTTGACGGGCACCTCCCAACTCTAGGCCACAGGTCTGTGAACCACAGTCCATGGGCAAAGCTGGCCCACCAGCTGTTCTGCGCGCAGTTTTCCTGAACACAGCCTGCGTGTACTGTCTGTGGCTCCTCTCCTGCTACGAGCTGGGTAGTTGGCCCATGACCCCTGCCCTATGGAATCAGTCACAAGCTTAAGCCATGATATCTGACCCATCTGCTCTGAGCAGAGACTCTCCTGAGTTCTCACTCCACGGATGGAGGAAACGTACACCCTACGCTCCCTGGCCTCATCTGCCTCCTCCCAGATTCTGAAGCAGTCAGCGCGCTCATCTTACTAAGGGCTCCGTGTATACACTAAGATGTAACTTCTGAAATCACACGTGCTCTGCCTAGATGCTGAGTCTAAATACTGAATTAAAAAACCAGTATGGATCTCAAATGAGCACATTAACCTCATTCATGAACAACTGATGCTTTTGAATTGTGGTGCTGGAGAAGACTCTTTTGAAAGAGTTGCTTGGACATCAGAGAGATCAAACCAGTCAATCCTCAAGGAAATCAGTCCTGAATATTCATTGGAAGGACTGATGCTGAAGCTCCAATACTTTGGCCACCTGAGGCAAAGAGCTGACTCTTTAGAAAAGACCCTGAAGCTGAGAAAGACTGAAGGCAGGAGGAGACGGGGATGACAGAGGACGATATGGTTGGATGGTCTCACCGACTCAATAGACATGAATGAGCAAACTGCAGGAGACAATGAAGGCCAGGGAAGCCTGGCATGCTGTAGTCCGTGGGGTCACAAAGAGTCGGACATGACTGACCAACTGAACACCATTCCCTGCAAAGCCTATTGATGTGACCGGACCGAAGAAGAAAGAACTGTTTCACTAGCAGTAGTGCTGTGTCACTTGAAAGAGAATGTCCCAAGGATAACAGTTAAGTGGATTCTCTTTTAATATAGTCTCATACTTGCTTAAAATCAGCCAACAATGTGCTTCAAAACTGGGTAACAGTTTCCTGTGCTCCATCTTCCTGGGTTTCCCTCCCACCACACACACGCGCGCACCTTCCAGCTCTTGGTCATGACAGTGGGCACGGGGAGCTCCTCGGACCTCCTGTCTCTGTGAAGAATCTGACTGGCCCACTGCACATGCTCATCTCAGAACTGCTTCCACCACATTCCTGGTTAGCTGTGTTTCCCGGGCTTCAGGGCTTCGGGTTTTTTGCATCTATTTCTCATTTTGCTAGAACGTATCTTCAAATAATTTTTTTAAGCATACACAAAAAGAATAAAAGCATACATTAAAAGCAAAATTAATTCTTGCATATTAGAAATATCTGTTTTGCCGAGACTTGCTTTACAGTTTAGCCAGGCCCGGGATTACTTTAAATTCTATTTAAATATACCTAGCCAAACTACCTTAGCTGAGTTGAAGTTCTTAATCAAAATAATTTAACTCAAAATGGCCATTAGTCAAAAGAATGCACGTTAGATATGTTTGAGAAATAATCTCATCTAGCTTGCTAAGGCAAGGTGACACAGGATTTAATCACGTTGAAGAAATGCGACCATCAAGGAAGCTGGTAGTTAATGAAACACCACCTCCCACAGCCCTTCCCTCAGCCTTCCAGGACTGCTGTTCTCCTAGTTCTGCACGGTTTTCCACACACCTCTCACCGCATCTTCCCCCAGCATCCCAACCGACCTGAGAGCTGGACGCCTTTGCACATCCAGCTCTCCTTTGCCCACACACTCTGTCTCTCACCCCGTGGACCTGGAGAAGGCTACAGTCTGAAAAACTTTCTTCTCCCAACTTTGTGTCCCTGTCGAAGCCTACTCCCCGCAAAGCATCAGCTGTTAGCGGCCTGCCCACCCCCTGCACCAGGCCCTCTGCAGAACACCACGCCTCCCACCCTGCCAGTTAGGGAACGCCTGCGTGCGTCCCCCACTAGGCCAGTGGTCTCCAAACGTTTGACTAAGAAGTTTCTTTAAAAAAAAAAAATCAGAAAAAAATTCTCAGTATGCAGCCCCAATAATATTTATGTTAAAATACTGTCTAGGTAGTACTGAACTCAGATATTGTGGATGTCATAAAACACACAGTGACTCTGACAAGCCTCTTACTCCAGTTACTGGCTTACAGGAAATACAGATGACAAAGAGGGCTGCTAATTTACAGAGTGGAGAGTCAAGTAATAAAAATAACATTGCCAGGAGTTCCACAAGACTGATGATCTGATTCCTCAAAAAACAAACTCTAAGAGAAACTAGGCGTGGAAGGGAACCAAGAGATCAATGAGACTGACATCCTTAACAGCCAATGTCATTTGGATGCTGGTTCCAAAGAGCAGAAGAACAAAGTAACAGGGAAGCATAGGAATTTGATGCTAAGAAAACGTTCTTCTCTTCAGGTGTGACAATGGCATTGTCCTTAAAATTAGAGTCCTCATCTACAGAGATCCATGTGAAACGCCCGCGGATGAAATAACACAAGGGCTTTGTTTCAAAGGGGCTTATGTGGGCGCCCTGGAAACCCTGTGAGGAACACCTTCATTCTACCGCACTGTCACGCCACACAGAGGTCAAGGACCTGGAGCCCCAGCTCGGGTCTGAGCCAGCAGGTCCACGCCAGAGTGCACACCCGTAACCCTCTGTTCGCTGTTCTGCAGCTTCTCTTCCAAAGGGGCTGAGTTTCTGAAAGCTGCTCCTGTCTGCACAGGCACCAGAGTGAAGCTCGGGGGTGCCTACCTGGACGAGCTGCTCCGTCGAGGGAGAGACCTCCATCTCTTTCCGCGTCACCCCGAAGCTGCCTTTCAGGCTCGTGTCCTTGACCTGCTGCTGCAGCAGGGGCACCAAGTATCTCAGCGCGAGCAGGACGCCGAGAATCAGGAGGGTGGGGTGCTCCCCCTCCACGGGGACCAGCAAACCTACAAAGCAGCAGTGAGACTGAGTCACAGCGGATTCGCGGCTCCCTCTGCTAACAGGCAGAGACCCACGCGGCACCCCGCGGCCGGGGGGTACAGATGGCACAAGTCACTACAGAAAAGCACACAGTCGACAGCGGAGACCCAGGGGTGCCGCCGAGGGGGAACACTGACCCCTCGGCTCAGCGAGGCCCCGCACAGCGAGCGGGAGCCAGGCAGCTCTATCACATCCGCGGTCCAGGCGCTCCCCGCGCCACCTGCTGGGACGGATTCCCACCGCCGCCCCAGGGCAGGAGGCCTGGTCAGCAGGCCTACAGCCGTCCAGACGGCCCCGAGGCTCGGGCTCCCTGCACCCAGGGCCCCCACAGAGGCCGTGCTGTGTGTGACCTGCAGGGCCAGTCCTGGGAAGGCTCCGCAGCGCCCGCTCTCGGTGGGCCGGGCCGCGTCCACACTGCTGCCCCAGGGAGGAGGGCGGGGAGAGGCTTCCCCAGGCCTCACGCCACCCCCGAGGGCACGCCTGCACACTTCCCCATTGGCCAGGCTGAAGGGCCCCGTCAGGAAGCTGAAGAGGGGCTGCCTGACGGGAAAGAATTCCAAAGGCCTATCTCAGGGATATGCCAGGGGCCCCCACCCCCCGGGGCGAGGCGCTGGCCGGCCGGGCCTCACCTAGGAGCACGCTGAGCAGCCAGCTGTAGAAGTACTGCGTCCTCCTGGAGTGCTGGCAGATGCTGACCGCCGAGCCCGCCGCCGTCCGCCGCACGGTCGGGGAGCTGGACTTCAGGTTCGCGATGAACGCCTTCAACAGAACCTGAGGAAGCCAAACCCAAGTGGGCAGAAGATGAGGCTCCTGGGAAACTCAGCACGTATTTCAGAAAAGCATGACCTGCTCCAAATTCTCGCGGAGTATAAAGCATTAACCACTTGAGACTTTCCCAGAGCTGAATGGGAGCACCTCAAGTGTGGGACACCTCAGAGCGGTCCGCTACATGTGTGTGCAGACACTTCACCTCCTCATGAGCTGCAAGGAGGGCCCTGCTGAGCATCTACATCCCTACAGGAGAGCGAAAGCCTTCATTTCTACAAAACGTGTCCCCACAAGGTCTGTGGCCAGGGTCAGTGAGTTTTTATTGTTGTTTAGTTGTTCAGTCATGTCTGACTCTTTGCGACCCCATGGACTGTAGCCCGCCAGGCTCCTCTGTCCATGGGATTCTCCAGACAAGAACACTGTAGTGCGTTGCCATTTCCCTCTCCAAGGGACCTTCCCGACCCAGGGATCAAACTCATGTCTCCTGCTTTGCAGGCAGATTCTTTACCACTGAGCCACGTGGGAAGCCCAGGGTCAGTCAGTGAGTAGTGCTGTGTAAAATAAACAGAATTAAGGAAAAAAATCAACAAATAATGAAGTCCAGGAGGAGAATGCCTAAACAACAGCTTGTCAACTTGCTGCTAAAGCCACTAAGAAACACTCTCAGGTCTGGAAACGTGCAACATGGCTGAACTGAGACCACACACTCACAGTTATCTTCCTAAGAAATCAGAGAAGACGACGTTGTTACCGTGCCTCCAAAGGACACGGTGCTACAGTTCTAACGATGGCCATTTAAGTCTGCACAAAAATACCCAAAGAATGAAAAGGGGTGACTAGGCAGCTGCATGAGCTTGGTGACATCTACCCTATCACTCTGAGCAGTGATCTGGCCCTGATACTGCTGGGTGCGTGTGGAGCACGGATGAACAGTCAGAGGTAAGTGGACGCCGCCCGGGAAGGTCTGGCCGCCGGCAAACAAGCCGCAACTTCAGCGAGCTTCTCCCTCACAGTGTGGCTAGCACTAACTGGCTCTCAGGGCTCAATGGCACTCTGGGAACTCACAGACTAGAGCTCGGGAGTCAGAGGTGGGAGGGTCAGAAGACCCCCGACACACGGCACCCCCAGGAGGTCATGGCCACCAGTTTCTCCCCAGAGACGACACCTGGAGAGAAACCGCTCTACTGATTTCTGACAAACTCTTAGCTCCAAACAGAAAGCATCTTAAAGAACTCCTTTTGGTGAGATCATACACATACATCATCATTGAAACTGTAAGTCAAGACTCATTTTGACTAGTCCGAACTTCTAAGCAGAATGAAAACTAAACACTACTATGATGAGTCAGCCCACATTGAACCTGAAGTTTGGAATAATAACAAAATTGACTCTGCGAGCTCTAGGGGGCGTTCTTGGGTCCAAATTCCACAGTGCTGAGAAAGCCCTGTAAAGGCGGCTGGCGGGAGGTCCCGGCACCGTCCTTAAAGCTCTTCTCACGAGGAGGAGGAAGCATACTAGACAGAAGGGTAAGGCAGCTCCACTTTCTAAACACAGACAGAACATGTATTTAAGAGCACTTCAAAAGGAAAAAGACACAAAACCCATCCCATTTTAGAGTCAAGAGCACTTCCGGGAATGGAAACGGAAATACAACCATATGCAACAGCAGAATGTACTCAGCAAATCACTTCACCGCAAAGGGCTGAGGTTGACGTTCCAGTCCACTGAGGACAGGGAGCTCTGGGACTACCCGCACCACCAACAGCAAGCTGTGAGCCGGCACGGCGCTTAGCACAGCTCTTTGCGGTGTCTGCCGAAGGGCAAAGATCCACACTCACACCGACAACTGCGGTTCCAGGTGTCACAACCCCAGCTCCAAGAGACCCACACGCGCACGGCACGGCAGCAGCATTCGTGACCCACTTCAGACGACCCCCGGTCCAGGGGCCAGCTGCAATAAAAGGACCGGCACACTCATCCAAGGGAACACCACGCAGCTCCAAAAACGGCAAGATCTAGTGACACACACGGCGACAGGTGAGACTCTCACAAGCACAGTGCTGCACAGAAGAAACCAGATGAAAAGAATACACGCCGTGTGGTCCTCCACGGCTACGACTTACATACCATAACTCACACACTCACACACCGTGAGGTCTCCACGGCTACGACTTACATACCGTAACTTACACATTCACACACCATGAGGTCCTCCACGGCTATGACTTACATACCGTAACTTACACACTCACACACCATGAGGTTCCCCAGGGCTATGACTTACAGACCGTAACTCACACACTCACACACCGTAAGGTTCTCTACGGCTACGACTTAAAGACAGACCCTCCGGCATTAGATGCCAAGTCAGTGTGATCAGCCCTGGGGAGGAAGGAGGGAATGGAGACAGGCGAGACTGGCAGAGGCTCCTGGGTGCCACTACTACTGCACGTCCAGACCTGGGCGGTGGCCACAAGGACAGGCTCGCTTTGTGACCCTTAGTCGAGGAGTCACGTGTGATCCACATGCTGTCTTCATTCCACATCCATCAAAGAAAAGCTCGAGAGTCTCCATACTTAACACAACAGGGCTCCCGTCAGGAGGCTTCTGATCTAACATGCTGGATCAGACACATGGACCTCTACCACCCAGACACGCCACAGAAACCTCAGCTCAAGGTGTCAAAAGCATAAACTCACACGTATAAGAAGAACAGGACAGGGACAATGGCAGCATAGAAGCATTCACAAAGGCGGAAGCCAGACGGCAACAAGAGGGAACTGAGTGACCAGGGGCCCACAGGTAGGAGCTCCCACACAAGCCTTTCTAGGAGCTGGGGAGAAGGACTGAAAGCCACCGCCCAGAGCAAGCTCAGCCACAGAGCGCGACGGAGAGCTCGGGTGTGGGGGTGCTGGAGGCCCGTGGGCGTGGCCTGGGCGTGGGGACAGACGGCTGCTCCTGGGCAGACTGCCACGGCCCCCTCCCGCCCAGACGGCCCGGGACGTGGGCACCGCTCCCCATCTCCCGCAGAGCGGAGGACGGATGCCAGCACAGACAGAAGATAGAAACTGAGGAAAAGTCCGCCTTCTGACCAGTGAGACTCTCCGCACAGCCCCTCTCTAGCAGTGAGCCTAGAGACAGGGACCCGGCAGCCGGGAAGCAGGCCTCTGGCGGGGGAGCCAAGACAAAGTGTAGGACAAACCCAAGGAACCCTACCAGGCTGGAGTGGCAGCTGGAGAACCCACGACGGCCAGGGCAGAAGCCAGGTCCGGTCAACCAGCCATCGTGCGCAGGAGCGCACTGAGACACACCCTCAGCGCCAGCAGAAGGCGTGACAGGTGCACATCGCCAGAGAGTAATAAGCAGATGGAAAAGAGGCAACCGCTGACTCCAGAAATACCAAAACGTTATACAAAGAAAATAACCACAGCACAGAACAGGACTAGCTGTGACTATTACGTAAGCATAATAACATGCACGCCGAATATTTACATCACTGTGGTAAAAAGATGGAAGAAGGGTTAGAGCTAAACTCATCTTCTCCACTGTAAAATATATAAATAAAAAATCCAAAACCTGCAATGTAAGCATGTTATTTAGAAATGAAGAGGGAAACACCGAGAGAAGCTCTGACACAGGACTGACCCACTGAAAGGAGAAGGCCAAGACTCTTGGTAACCCTCAGAGCCTGTGCCAGGACACTATGAACAGGACCCGAGAGAGGGCATGAATTCTGCGGGCTGGGGCAAAAACAAGCAGGAAGCTGAGTGGTGCCCCGGCTGCGGGCACTCACAGCCAGAGGACGCCGTTGGTGTGCCTGCTCCGCCTGCAGTTCAGGGACCACCGCTTGGCCTCAATCAGGCTAGGCAGTCAATCCTGGACACTGAAACCAGTATGCTCTGGCAAAATGCCTTTTGCTTCTCTAAACTGTCTTCCTGTTCAGCTTTCCACCCGACAGTAAGAAGGCAGAGGGGAAAGAGGCTCTTTGTGTGCCTTCAAGAAATCAAAAGATTATACTCCAAATTATGACGCACTCTCAAATGCCTGTCTGTGCAAAAGCACGACTCCCACTAAGACTCATTCACACGCTTGGGACTTGAGGCAACACTCATACCTTAATCTCATTGTCGTTCGCAAAGTTGCCAAAAGAAGCCATAATTTTAGGGATCGCTGCAGCCAACGTCTCCTGAACAGATTCCTCGGGTCTCTTGCTCGTGCGCGTCAGGCAAGGCAACAGGTTCACCAAGTACGGCCTGCGGTGGGAGAGGAACACCAGTTACTCTTCCAGGTCTACCTCAAGGAGAAACACGAGCGATCAGTCCAGTAACTGTTAGGGAAAAACCAGTTTTTATATGCAAGAGTCCTTCATGGAAAATAAACAAACCTCAGAGTCAAGACTCAATGCAGGTGAATCAACAGCTTATTTTAAAAATTCTCTGCAGTAAAGTATGATAGCTATTAAAACAGTCAGATTTTAAATTAGAAAATAACAGATAATGTAAGAAAACACTACGAAATGAGAATAAAGCTTTCTTGAATGGGGAGGATTGCACAGTTTTTTTCCAAGCAGTCACACTGAATAAGGCCTGAGTGAGAAGCCCCGGCCCTTGAGACAGCAGCAGACAGCGCGGGCCTGGAGAGGAGCAGTCACAGGACAGACGAGCGGAAGCAACGGGACAAACTGGGTGCAGACGGGGGCGTCCTCTAGGGCGGAGACGAGCAACAACCAGGGGCACCCCTGGGACCGGGAGGGAGACGGGCCTTCCGAGTGATGAGCCAAGGGAAGAACATGCCAGACACCAGAAGGAACACACGACTTTTCAGAGAAGGCAAGGCAGGCCAGTGAGTCAACAGTGTCTGAGGTGACGGGGGCTCTGGGGCCAGATCTCCCAGGGCCTTGTACAGAGTCTGGACTTATCTGAACAGCCGTGGGAAACGAGTGACGAGTTCAAGTAAGGGAATGCCATGACCCAATCATAGTTTGTAAGGTCACCTTGGCTTCTATGTGGAAAACCTGGGATGTGTTGCTTCAGACATATATTAACAAGAAGTTTTCAAATTAAGGATAGTAAAGGAACAAGGTTATATAGAGAAATTTCCCTAGTGACTGTATGTCCACCGTTGTGTAAGATTCTTATCACACTCAGACCCCGTGAAACTGAGCATTGTTTGGTGTCAAAGGAGAGGGTTTCTGCCACTCCACCAGCTCCGCAGGGACAGAGCCAAGGCATCCATGGACGTCAGCACGTCTTGCCGGTCACGGAGACAAGAAAGGAGTTGAAACTGTGGTCCTTCTTTTGGTTTTCAATCCATTAAGAAAGAGAGACAGATGTAAAGAACCGACTTTAGGACTACATGGGAGAAGGCAAGGGTGGGATGACTGGAGAGAACAGCACTGGAGCATGTATGTCACCCTGTGTGAAACAGATGACCAGTGCAAGTCCGATGCGTGAAGCAGGGCGCTCAGAGCCGGGGCTCGGGGACAACCCAAGAGATGGGCGGGGAGCGAGGCGGGAGGGGGCTTCAGGATGCGGGACACGTGTGCACCCGTGGGTGATTCATGTGGATGTGTGGCAAAAACCACCGCGACATTGTAAAGAAATTATCCTCCAATTAAAATAGAGTAATGAATTAAAGAAAAACACAACTGTTACAATCAGTCAAACCTGTCTTCACACTTTCTATTTTTAACCCATGTAACGGACAAAGACATGGTTTTCTATAATCCCTACAGTGAGCAACAGTGAGGGCGCATGCACCCTTCGACCACCTGACAAGCATCTCCTCGGCAAGCCCCAGGGCAGACACCGTCAGCCGGGCTGGGCTGCGGCAGGGCCCGACGGGGACGCCCCCCCTGTCCTGGGACGCACATCCCTGCGTCCCTCGGGGAGCGTGGGGCAGAGAACGAACCAGTGTGCGAGAGCGTTTCTGAGCGGAGAGCAGGGACTGCAGTGGGGCAGGAGGAGGGGGGCGGCTTCAGACAGCGGGGCCGGGAGAGACCTCCGGAGAAACGGCTTTTGAGCCGAGACGGAAGAGTCCACAGGAGCTGGCCCCCCGACCAAAGCAGCAGTGACAGCGATGACCCGGAGCGTCCACTTCACCTGCACTTCTGAGGCCGGACCAGGTGAGCCAGCTCGGCAAACCTCCACAGGGCAGCGCGCAGGCTCCGAGGGGCGCCGTTCTGCGGGAGCGAAGAGCGCAGTTACACGGGAGCCGCACACAGCAGGCGTCACCCGACTTCAATGCACAAAAGCCTTTCTCACTGCTAGCCTCTGTTTTTAGAGAAAAGGCCGTTTAAGTGTGCGATTGCTTTCTGACATTTTAAGATTTAATGGGACGAAATTATAAAGGTTTTTTTTTTTAAAAAAAAACTCCCATTTTAATTCCCATCTCATCTAATAAATAATGAAGAACAACTTTCTGAGGAGAAGTAAGACAACAGAATCTACTTTACCAAACAGCATTTGTTTCCTTCTAACATTTTTACTTATCAAATAAAAGAAAATATCATACGTTATTCAATACAGTGGATCAATAGACTTTTTTCAATAATGAAAAACAAAAACCCACCTTTTTAATTTCCTTATAGAGTTCTAGCTGCAACCTTGGAAGATTGGAATCCATCAAAGCCTACAACAAAACACAAGAGATCTGTTCATGGAAGACACATTCTACTACTGGTTCTAAGAGTGACGGTGACGGACGGGGAGGCCTGGTGTGCTGCAGTCCACGGGGCCGCAAAGAGTCGGACACGACTGAGCGACGAATAACAACAGCAAAGCAGTTCTAAAGAAATCTAAAGGGCAACGAAAAGTTCAATTTGGGGGCCAAGGAGACTATAATAGCAACTAAATTGAAAACCTGCTCATTAAGAAAGAAAAACATGTATGCAGGAAGTTACCAACTAGATACAGGTCATTCCCTATAACACTTAAAAGGAAAGGAAAAGAATATTCATTACAATCAAATACTACATAATATCAAAATTAAATGGTAGATAGTTCAAATTCACTCCAAAGCTCTTATATTCAATTACAGTATATTCTTTAATCATTAAAGTACATTCTTTAACCATCATTTTTAACGATGATCCAACATCAGCAATGCCCTGGAGTCTGCAGAGCCAGTGGGGCAGAAGGGGGATACCCAAGGTCAGAGCCCTGATTCTGGCATGGGAACACTCCTCTCCACACAGAAGCCGCATCCTTCCCAAAGGTCTGGTTCTCCCGTGATGCATGGGTGCGCCCCACCTCAGGGCCCCAGTGACATGTGAACCAGCTGGAACCACAGGCTCCTCAGAGACCTGCCCCTGCTGCTCAGTTACAAGTCAAACCAAAAAATGGCCACACAAGCAATTTCAACCCAGTAATAATGGGTGATGGCAACCACCATCAGGGACACAGAGTCCATGCTGGAGATGGCTCCCCAAGATGGAGAGATCTCTGTGCCCCGCTCTCAGCCGTAAGAACCCTGTCCTCTGAAACAGTACTGCCAATGGCTTGTCCACAAGAGAGGAAAGATGTAACGAACCCTGAAGAGAGGGGAGATATAACCAAGCCTCCACAAAAAAGCCCTCCTCCTTTCCTGTGATATAAGCACATGACATCTATAAACCAAGCAGGCCTTAGCAAAACCCATGGAGGCTCAGCGAGCTTGAAAATCAAAACAGGGTCACATTCTGAAAAATGCCTCGGATATTTTAAAATTCTAATTCTACTGTTCCACTCTGGACTACAATCCCTTAAATGAGCACATCAAAATGGACAAGTATATAGTAAAACACTGCTTGGCCAGTAAAACCAGAAGGCATATCCAAGTTTTGTTTCACTTTATAAATGTTTTATAAACTAACGTCAAATATACTTTATTACAAGAGAAAAGTAAACTTCAAAGCCGTGAAACAGCAGTGAGCGGGCGCTCAGTCACAGGCGATGCTAACGTGCCACCTGAGCCTCCCTGCTCCCGTCCCCACCTCCACACCGGGGCGGACACAGAGCCGCCAGGTCCAGCCCATGACAGCCCAGCCCCTGCTCCTCTCTCGCACCCAGCACCCCTACTGGTTCAGGGCCCCCTCTCTTTCCTGGACACTTGGCCTCCTCATGGATTCTGGGCACACCGTCTGTCTCCTGTCCAAGGCAGGCTACAAGGCACCAGCAGGCTGCTTGAACTACCAGGTTACAAATTTTGGAGAGCTCGTCCCTTTCTTCATTCTCTACCTAATAAAGCGCAAACCCCTCGAACTGATCCTCACCATCTCCCGTTCTCTAGCAGAGTCCCCTCCTCTGTGAGTCTGCCAGGGTTAAGAAGGTCCTACGGGACGTCCCCGGAGCACCCCTTGCTTCACTGCAGTGGGGCACGGGTTCGATCCCTGGTTGGGGAAACCAAGATCCCGCATGCCACACAGCGAGCCAAAAGAAGAGGTCCTAAATCTTCTCATTCACCTACAGCCACCACCTCCGGGAGGCCTTCTCTGCCTCCCCGGGCAGAAATCACCTCCGCCTCCAGACTGCAGTGATGAGCTTCCAACATCGCCCAGAACTCAGAGCTTACACCCTGCCTTCAGTCACTTCTGTACAAACCCGCTCCCCGTCTGAGACTGTACGTCATCTGAAGGCAGGAGCACACTGTCAGCGGAGCCCCGAGGATGGCTGGGGACACAAACGAGGAGAAGGGCAGAATCAGAAAGACAAGGGCAGTTTTCCAAGGCAGTAAGAATTACGAAAGAAGAACTTCATCTTCAGTGGCAGCAGAAAACAGGAAAAGGGGAAAGTGGATTAAAGCTCGGGACCTCGGTACACCAGGAAGGCCTGAGCAGAGGACAGGCGTCCCCCACGCTCCTCACCTCAGCTCCCACCGAGGTGGCGCTGGCTTTCTGCCTTCACCAACCTTTTCTGGGAACTTCTATCCCCAGTCACGTCACACCAACTCCAGCCAGAACTCCAGCCAAGCGACCAGACAAGGCACGTCCTTCCCTGTTAACAGTCCGGCCTGCCCCAGGACTTGGGGGACGAAGACATCAGCGGTGGACCCCACCGCCCGTCCCCTGGCCGTCGCAGGGCCTCGCGGTTTCTCAGCAGGGTGCCACTCGGTCCAAAAGCCCCCAGTGGCCACCGTCAGCGCCCGTCCCTGACCGAGGCCCTGCACAGGCATGAGGGGAGCCCGTGCCCTCTGACTGGGCAGGTACGCCAGACCCTGGCAGACACTGGAGTGCCTCCAAACCACACACCATTAGGTTAAAAACGTGCAGACGACCTAAGGACTTTGCTACTCAAAACAAAAGCATACGGTTTCTTCTCTCAGCCACAGTGACTGTGTCTCAGAGAACACCGTCCAGAGGGTTCTTACTTTTATGACTTTGTTGAGGCATTCGTCAGCCACCATCCTGACATCTGACTCCGCATCATCACTGCACAGCAGAAAAAGTTCCATAGCGATGCCCAGAAGTTTCTGAAATTCTGGAGAATTTCTAAGTGAAAAAAGAAGAGATACTGTCACAGCCAAGAGAAGACACGATGATGAAACGCAGTTAAGTTTCTGGTATCCTGCGTGGGATTCTGGAACAGGAAAAGGATGTTACATACACCGGTAAAATTCATTTTAATAATATATTTCATTTAGCCCAATATATCAAAAATACTATTTCAACATGTAATCAACATGAAGAAATCAGTGTGCTATAGAACAATCTTTTTTACAGCACATCTGAATTCAGACACAAAATTTTCATCAGAAATATTTTATTTGGGGGTTTCCGTGGTGGTCCAGTGGTTAAAAATCTGCCTGCCAAAGCAGGGGACGCGGGTTGGCCCCCTGGTCTGGAAAGACTGAGAGGCTCCCACGTGCCGCGGGGACAGCTAAGCCCGACCACAATACTGAGCTCGAGCACTTCAACGAGAGAAGTCCGCAACCAGAGCAGCCCCCGCCTGCTCAACTAGAGAAAGCCGGAGAAGGAAGGAAGACCCAGCACAGCCAAAGATAAATAACTAAACAAGCCTTTAAAAAAGAGAGAAAGAGGGAGACAGAAATACTTGTATAAAGATTCCATAAAACTCACAGCTGAAAAAGCAGGCTTCCTTGTAAGTAGTAGATAATCTGCAGCTCTGAGGCACAGCTCAGGGACTGCAGTCAGCAATACTGCATTTTAAACGCCAAAGTTGCTAAGAGACTAGCTCTTTACTGCTCTCAACACACAGAAAGGAACGACAATGATAACGATAAAGGTGCAGGCTGCCACTGGGCTGCCACAGTGCATTATACATGCAAATCAAACCAGACTCACGGTGCCATGAGCCCATCCTATCTCGATTTTTAAAAAGAAAAAAAGTAGGTTTATATACTACTTCTAACCATGCTTTTAAGAAGCTCTCCAATAACTAAATCAGGGGACAGGGGAGCCTGGCGTGCTGCAGTCCATGGGGTCACAAAGAGTCAGACATGACTTAGCGACTGAACAGCAAGATAAGTGACAAGGACAGGGTTCGCCTTCCTGCCTAAAGCAGTTAATAAAGGGTAAGATGCATGTAACCGTGGTTTTCAAGGAATCAGGTATTAGGCATCTCTGGAAAATGGAAAGCTAATGTGATGAGCCTCAGGATTTCCCCAGATGGCTGCCTAGAGGGGGTTTCCCCGTGAGGACGTGAGGAGAGGAAGCCCGGGCAAGCCCATGGTTGCTGAGACGGGAGACAGAGCTGATGGCCTCAGGAGGCAGGGTGGCTGGGCCCATGGGGGGAAGGCCAGAGGGGCAAGCTGCACAGAGAGACCCGGAGACCCACGGGGCCCTCGGGTTTCAGCTGAGTGTTGCTGCAGACAGTGGTCCGGGGCAGCAGGCACAGTCACCTGAAGGGGCTGGAGGGAGCAAGTGCTGAAACTCCAAGTGTGGGAAGAGCCCCTGCTCTCACCAGCCAGAGGGGGAGCCTTGTCCTTCTGGAGCCTTGGGTCGGCTGCTCAGAAGCGTTTGCCTTCACAACCGGGCTGACTAACTTCAACTCTAGGTGAGATGCTGTTCTGACCCTGCCTACAGATCTGACCCTGCCTACAGGCAGAACCCGGGAGGGTCCTAGTCCTTCAGAGTAACATAGTTGCATTCCAGGGCTAACTTCAAGAACGTTGGAATTCAAAAGTGTGTAGCACCCACCAAGATAGAAGTTATAAGGTCTGGCATCTAATCAGAAATGGTCAGGAATGCCAACAAGCAGGAAAACATGACCAACAGTGAGAAAAATAACTGATGCTGACCCAAACAGTATTCAACCCAGAAGGCAGAAATAGGGAAAACGGTAAATAAAGAACATATGGGCCAAACAGGGGAGTGGCAGCACAGTGGCAGATTCAAACCTAGGTTGGGGGCTTTTCTGGTGGTCCGGTGATTGAGAATCCGCCTTCTGATGCAGGGGACATGGGTTCAGTCCCTGGTCAGGAAGCTAGGATCCCACGTGCTGCAGGACAGCTAAGCCCGAGTGCCACAGGGGAGAGTCTGTGCGCTGCAGCTGAGACCCACTGAAGCCAAATAATAAAAAATGAACCTACGTATGTCAACAGTGACATGGAATGGAAAAGATTTCTCAGATCAAATGAGAAGCAAGACCCAATATTTGCTGCCTACAAGAAATACATTTTAAATACAAAGATTCACATAGGTTAACAGTAAGACAATGGAAAGAGGTTCACCATGTTGGCCCTTTACAGATGGAATCTGATATTACCATCAAGTGAAAATCGCTCAGTTGTGTCTTTGTGACCCCAGAGCCTGGCGGGGCCCACAAGCTTGGTGCTGGAAGGAGCGCCCCCAGGGTGGCCTCAGGCTACCGAAGGTGAACCAGGAAGTGAGGAGATGCGCTCACTCTGTGGGATACAATGAACATGTCGTTGTTGTTCAGTCGCTCAGACATGCCCGACTCTTTGTGACCCCACGGACTGCAGCACGCCAGGTTCCCCTGTCCTCCATTCTCTCCCAGAGTTTGCTCAAACTCATGTCTATTGAGTCAGTGATGCTATCTAACCATCTTAGTCAGAAGCAAAAATCCTTCAAAATTTTTTAATTTAATTTTTATCATATTATTATTATATCACCTAGTCACAGATCTATAAATCATCTTTAATAAAGTTAACTAATATTCCTTTCCATAAATGTATGAAGTTTTTCAGTTCCCTTGTAGGTAAGTCATGAAGATTATTTTTCATTTTTTAATGGGATGACTAGCACTGCACCAACATCACTGGACTTTCCTAAGGATAAACTCCTGAAGTGAAATGCCTAAATCAAACAGGCCAAACTGCCTTTTATTTTTTTTAATATTTATTTATTTGGCTGTGCTGGGTCTTAATTGCGGCACACAGGATCTAGTTCCCTGGAATCGAACCTGGGCCCCCTGCATCGGCAGCACAAAGTCTTAGACCCTGGACCACCAGTGAAATTTCCCAAGTTGCCTTTTAAAAAAGTTGTAACATCTCTGACAAAATCCTGAGCATTTTTTAATGTCTGTAAATTTAACAGGTAAAAAAGAAATGCTCTGATTTTTGTTTTATCTCATTCTAGTGACTACTAGTAAATCTGAACATTTTTCCACAGGAAGCATGAATAAGTGTTAGCTATTACATTTGCTGGCTCAGTAACACTTCTTCTTTGCCAAACTGCCCATTCATAGTTTTGCCTGTTTTCCTATCAGAAAGACAGCCTTTTTCTTAATGATTTACAATTTCTCTCTACAAAAGCTATTAAACCTTTGATACATATGCCATCAATACTTTCCCCAAGTTGCATTTAAGTTTCAGTTTAAAGTAGATTTTGACATACTGAACTATATTCTAGATAAAACACCTTTTTCCTTTATGTTGTAAGCATTCCACAGACTAAATGTTCTTTTTGTAGTAATTATTTCACTCTCTTATAGTTAGGTAATTAATCTGGCATTTATGTTTGCCTGCAATATGAAGAATATTCCCCTAAATAGTCAGTTGGTTCAATAATCCATCATTTCCACACTAATACAAGATGTTACCTTTATTGTAAATTCATATCTACACATACACACATACACTTCCCCACTTCCTATTCTGGACCTTCTTTAATGTCTAACAGCTATTTTAATGTCATGAACACCAGATCTCACCAATTACTGATGGTTTCAGATTCTGTTAACACTGATGTATTTATTCTTGCAGATGAACAAGTTCAAAAATATCTCTACTAGAATTCTGATCAAGCTCATTTTAAATTTATGAATTAATTTAGAGAAAGTTTAACTTTATGATAAGGAACTGTTCCCACGTTGAAAGGGCAGTAGTCACCTGTCCCTTTCAGGGAAGTCCATACAGTCCTTCCATAGTTTTTGCATACCTCTTGTCAATTCCTTGAAATATTATATGTTGCTGCTATCTTGAAGAGCAGTTCTTGAAGCATTATATTTTCTAACAGATTTATGCTAATATATGGAAATGGAAAATCTATAGATTCCTGCACACTTATTTTTACCCAGTCACCTTATCAAGTACAAGTGCTTAGACGAAGGTGTCAAGGTCCTCCCAAAAGGAAACTACTTAAAAATGAATTCTCACCCTCCACTAGACAGAAAATGTAAGAGTGCTGGGGAAAGAGGAACAGTGAGGTTATCTTCGTTCCTGCATTTCTAACAAATTTTCCGGTGATTCTGAGGTTCGAGCGTATCTGGGAAGCAGCAGGACAGACCACCAAACGGAGAGCTGCAGTAGGCTGAGTCACAGCACACCTCAAGGGCCCAAGAAGCTGCCTGAGATAACCCCTGAGAGGCAAGACCAGCACCTCGCAGAAGCTAAAGAACACACCAGAGATTAGTTACAGTAAAGGAGAGATCACAGGAAATACTGGCCATTAAGACTTCCTAAAACATTATATGTCTATAAAAGATCCACTTCAGCTCTACAATCCAAAATTTCTGAAAAGTATCGAGAGCATCTTAAAACAAACACGTTCTTTGATCTGATGCAACCAAAGACAACCTCTCTGGGTCCAAAAAGCATCCCACTAATATGATCCTACATAAAACAAGCAGCGTAAAGACCATTAGCATTACTCCATAAAAACAGAACAGACATGAATGTAGGAACTATTAACAGCTATTACCATGATTTACGATGGCAAACTGAGCCACAAGCCAGTTAACATTTCTCAACATACTTCCCAGGTGGTGCTAGTGGTAAAGAATCTGCCTGCCAGTGCAGAAGACATAAGAGATGCAGGTTCAATTCCTGGGTGGGGAAGATCCACTGGAGGAGGGAAATAGCATCTACTCCAGTATTCCTGCCTGAAAAATTACATGGATAAGAGGAGCCTGGTGGGCTGCAGTCCATGGAGTTGCAAAGAGTCAAACGTGACTGAGCAATGGAACACACACTCACTCACACACACACACACCCACACACACGTGTGAATCTAAGCCAACATTCCATCAATTCCATTGGGAATTATCAAGAAACAAACTAAACATAAAGCATGAAGCAGTCAGAATGGAAAAGGTCTATTTTCTAAGTCCATAAGGTTTCAATGTGAGGTGTTGCTTCCTGAGACCAGGATGCTGGAAGTCCGATGAGCGCAGCTGTGCTAAGGCAGCGGCAGGCCCCAGGGGTCTGCCAGGTGTCACACAAGAGTAACGGCGTGTGCAGGACAGCGTGCACCACCAGCGGACGGGTTTCTGCCTCGCAGGAGCTAATGCGGACCTTGACGCAGCTCTCAACAGCATCTCACAAGTGTGGCTCCTAAGAGTCCTGGACACTGCGTTTACACATGAAGGACAGGCCACAGCGACTCTGAGAAGTTAGCTTTGTCTGAAGCCACCTGGCTTATACGGAGTGGAGACAGAATTCAAACCTTCTCCCCTACTTTTACTCAGTACTGTTGTCTATAATAGCACGCTAACTTAGAATTTTTGTATTTTTATTTTCAGCACATATTTCCACTTGTCACTTCCTTTCTTCCTACAGTATTTGTACAAATTACAGATAAACACAATAATCATGCACTGTCTTTCCAAATGGCACTGACTTCAACTAAGATGGAATGCTCTGTATGAAATCACTTTGAAAGTATAAAATACAAGCGGCAAGGTGCCACTGAAAATAAATGAATCACCAAATTTCTGTCAGTACAAGAACCACGGTGGTTATTCTTAGAGGTTTTTCTAGTAGATTACAGAGAGCCCTTCCCAACAGGAGGGTAACATGGATGATCTACTCCAAGAGAGAGCACTTACTCCAAGAGGAGCACTTCCCACGTCCCATCTGAGTGACGGAGTTCAGAAGCCATGAGCACATCTGTTGCCTACTCACTCATTCAGAGACAGGCGTAAAATATCTACCACCCACAGATGTGAGGAAGAGTGCTCAGCCAGCCAGCCAAAAGCAAGGAGGATGAGGAGAATCAGCAAAGAAGCGATACAAGAAGGTGCTGCCTGCTCACCCCAGAGGAATGACCGGGCCAGGGAAGTGGGCCTCCGGTCAACACCCATGACCCCAGCATCCCAAAGCTGCTATAAGCAGGGAGCACCCCCACAGGGTGGACAGGGCAGAGGCTGAAGAAAGAGACCCCGGCAATTGGGCGGGCTCCTGTTCCTACTACCGCAGTAAGTAAGATACAAGCATAGTGTTCTGTTATCCTAATGGTTACAACAACACAGTGTAAGGTTACAAGAAGGAAGTATTACTCAGTACAGTGTCTGGAAATCCTCCGTATCCACGGCCAGAAAGGGGAGGGGTCCCAGCAAGGTTTCAAAACAACTGGGGCAACAAAGGACATTCTAGCCCGCTAAGAATGAAAACACAGAAGTGTTTTATTTTCACTAGAAAGTTCAAAGTGCAGTTACCTGAGAGACTGTGCCACTATGTTTTCACATATTGTCAGACAATGATTCACACGGTCTTTCTTGGTGGCTGAGAGTTCTTTCTTTCTAAAGGGGGAATAAAAAAAGAGTAAGGCAGTTAGTGTTGTCCGCTCCATCAGTTTCTATGTGGCATGCATTCACTCATTCATTCAACAGAGCTTCTTGACTCCAAGGAGTAAAGCCAGGCAGCCCGTGCCAGGACAGGGTGCTCTGAGGTCAGAGAGGCGGGCAGGCGTGGGCCGAACCCCGGGTCCCCTACAGGGCCGGGCTCCACAGAAAACTCAGGGGGCATCCTAACACGCCTGCCTTCTCTGCTGTAGAGAAGAGAGGCTGTGGCGCCGACAGGGCCCGCCCAGGATCGCGTGGACAGAGGCAGCTTCAGCTCAACTCAACGTGAAATGCCTCCTCTACACAGCGGCCCCTCGCAAAACCACATGGCTGACGTCAGCCCCACCGGCCTCACACGATTAAGGATGAGAAAACATATCAACACAAAAATAAACTCAAAGTGGATTAAAGATCTAAATGTAAGACCAGAAACTATCAAACTCCTAGAGGAGAACATAGGCAAAACACNGAAGTACAAGGTATTAGGTATAAAATAAGCTACAAGGATATATTGTCCAACATGGGGTTGTAGTCAATATTTTAAAACAACTATAAATTGAGTATAGTCTTTAAAAATTATGAATCACCATTATACACTTGCAACTTACATAATATTTCACAGCAACTATACTTCAGCTTAAAAAGAACAAATTATTTGGAGAATTCTAATTCTACCTAAAAAATAAAATTTAAAAATTCCAACAAAAATATCAAGGCAAGCTGTCACAAGAGTACCTTATGGCCAAATAAGTGTTAGGATTCAAAAGCGAAAATTTAGTGTAAGCTAGAAAGTCATCCTCAAGGAGAAAGAAGATAAACTTGATCATGTGGAAAGTCATTGGTGGAAGATAAATGGGAAATTGCTCACCTGGTGGAAATTATATATTAATAAGTAAAAGCATAGAAGCAGGAAGATTAAGACAGAATGAGGATCCAAGTAGAACCTCTATGAGCCTCCTGTACTTGACAATTACATGTATGTTCTCCAATCTACCCGGTTTCCATAGGTTCCATCCACCAGTGAACTCTAAATCACTATAGTACCTGATACATATTAAGAGTTCTACAGTGTTTTTGATGAAGGAAAGAACAAAGAGAGAGAGAGGAAGGAAGGAGGAAGAAGTTAGAATACAGAATGAATAACACCAGACAAGATAATAAAATAGTCCCCTTAGGATAAAAAAAAAAAAAGATTAAAAAAAAAAAGAAAAGAAAAGAAAACGTATTAACACAACGGCTAATTGCTCCTGTATCCCCGAATGGCTACAAACAAGTACTCTGCCCAGAGACTTTCTCAAAAGCCTCCTAGTAAGACTTTTCAGCCCAAATTTTAAAATGGAGACAGACAGGCTGCTCCAGAAGATGAGATAAAAGCTGCTTGCTTCTCACCCAAACCTATGACTTCAGAGGTCTCTGAGGTATGCACTGGAGAAATATAGAAGACAGGGATGATCCAAAGAGGAAGCAAAAAATAAATCAGGCTTGATGACCACATCCAAACAAGGATCCGAGTGTCTGACAGCTACCAGGACATGGTACTAACTGGAAACAGACACCAGAAGACTACTACATTTTTGAGGGAATTCTACAAAGAGCACCAAAGAAAGTAAAATACTAACTGACCAACACCTCTGTTTAATCCCTAATGCAACCTCAGGCTCCAAAAAAGTACATGTGAAGGAACAGACTCTTCCAGTCGTGCAAACCAAGAAAGACACACCCTCAAAAGGCACTTCAGACATGGCCAGGGAAGAACATGGACAAGGAAGAGTACGCAAAGCCGAAAGTCAGGCCTGAACACGAGGCCAAGTCCATGGTGAGCAGAGAGGGGCTCCGAGTGACCAGCCAGCCAGCCTCTCACCACATGGACGGGTGACCGTGTCCCGCACTGGTCTCCTTCCTAAAGGAGACTCGCTGATGAGCTGTGCTGTGGGCTGTTAGTCACCACCAAAGCGCCCTGCTTCCCTTCTCAGACACACGCTTCCTGCTGAGAAGTCCCACAGCCCGGCTTCCCTGCAGCCAGGCACAGATGAGTGACTCTGTTCTCGCCAATGAAACAGGAACACAAGTAGCAGGTGGAGCTTCTGCCTTGCGGCTTGCCCAGGGCACCACCCCCTCCTTCTGGCTTCCCCCAACTGGAACAGACACTTCTAACATCCAGTTTTTGAACATACAGGCAAAGACAACAAGAAGGCTGCAGAGTGACAGGATGGAAGGAGTCTGGGTCCCGAGTGACCACAGGAGGCAGAGGCCCCTCACCTCCTGCCCTCCTGAGTCACTCACTTCAGAAGCGCTGGGATGGAAACCCGTGTCCCAGTGGATGGGCAGACAACCGCAGTGAAGTGATGGAGCGCTGCTTGGCAGTGAAAGCAGCAAACAACGGACACACACAAGGATGAGTCTCAATGCATCCGCTTCAAGGTACAGAGGGAGGATTCAACTTATGCCACAGTCTTTACCTTTAAGGGAATGTAAACTGATCTGAAATTTACAGGGGCCTGGCAGGGGAGGAGAGTACACTAAAAAAGGTACTGATGAGTGAACTGGGTTCAAAATTGGGAAAGGAGTACGTCAAGACTATATATTGTCAACATGCTTATTTAACTTCTATGCAGAGTACATCCTGTGAAATATCAGGCTGGATGAAGCACAAACTGGAATCAAGATTGCCAGGAAAAACATAAATAACCTCAGATATGCAGATGACACCAACCTAATCGCAGAAAGTGAAGAGGAACTAAAGAGCCTCATGATGAAGGTGAAAGGGGAGAGTGAAAAGCTGGCTTAAAACTCAACGTTCAAAAAACTAACATCATGGCATCTGGTCCTATCATTTCATGGCAAACGGATGGGGAAAAAATGGAAACAGTGACAGACTTTATTTCTTGGGCTCCAAAATCACGGCAGATGGTGACTGCAGCCACAAAATTAAAAGATGCTTGCTCCTTGGAAGAAAAGCTATAACCAACCTAGACAGCATATTAAAAAGCAGAGATATTACTTTACCAACAAAGGTCCATCTAGTCAAGGCTATGGTTTTTCCAGTGGTCATGTATGGATGTGAAAGCTGGACCATAAAGAAGGATGAGCGCCAAAGAACTGATGCTTTTGAACTCTGGTGCTGGAGAAGACTCTTGAGAGTCCCTTGGACTGCATACAAGTAGATCCAACCAGTCAATCCTAAAGGAAGTCAACTCTGAATATTCATTGGAAGGACTGATGCTAAAGCTGCCTTTTCACACTGTTCATGGGTTCTCAAGGCAAGAACACTGAAGTGGTTTGCCATTCCCTTCTCCAGTGGACCACATTTTATCAGAACTCTCCACCATGACCCATCTGTCTCGGGTGGCCCTACACGGCATGACTCATAGTTTCACTGAGTTAGACAAGGATGTAGTCCATGTGATCAGATTGGTTAGTTTTCTGTGATTGTGGTTTTCATTCTGTCTGCCCTCTGATGGAGAAGGATAAGAGGCTTATGGAAGCTTCCTGATGGGAGAGACTCAGGAAAGACTGGGAAAGATTGAGGGCAGGAGGAGAAGGGGACGACAGAGGATAAGACGTTTGGATGGCATCACCAACTCAACATCAACATGGGTTTGAGTAAACTGGGAGTTGGTGATGGACAGGGAAACCTGGCGTGCTGCAGCCCATGGGGTCACAAAGAGTGGGACACAACTGAGCAACTGAACTGATGCTGAAGCTCCAATACTTTGGCCACATGATGTGAAGAGCCGACTCTTGAGAAAAGACCGTGATGCTGAGAAAGACTGAAGGCAAGAGGAGAAGAGGGTAACAGAGGATGAGATGGTTGGATGGCGTCATTGACTCAATGGACATGAGTTTGAGCAAACAAACTCTGGGAGAGGGTGAAGGACAGGAAGACTGGGGTGCTGCAGTCCATGGGGTTGCACAGAGTCAGACATGACTGAGGGAGTAAACAAAAGCAACTATATATGTGTGTGTGTACGTACGTGTATATTACACCTCAGTGTGAAAAAGAAAGTGCTATGAGAGTTTAAATGCTCTCCGCTTTGAGCCATCACATTAAAGTCTCAATCACCTAGTTGTAGACCTTAAGTCATTAAGAAAATTAAAGAACACTGACCTCTCCCAACAAGTTAGGAGGCAAATGAACTCTCTTCTGTATGGCTCCCTTCCAAAGTGAAAACCCACCAAAGGCCTTAAATGAGATGCATTCACACACCGGGTCTCCCAGCTCTATAGGCAGTGGCCCCACTGTGAGCTGCCTCTTACCCTGGGGTTTGAAATAACTCCTGGGGGGATGGCAATCAGAAAAAGCTGACAAACACTAAAGTGAATGCACCTCACTACTTATGATGGTCATGGCAGAAAAGTGATCAACACAAATATGAGCTTTAAAAAGAACTGTGTCTCTCTCCTATGCGAACTCAGCCACAAAAATACAGGTAACAAAACTGATACAGCTCTCTGAACCTGCTGCCTGACTGCCTTAAGACCCACACGCACTGTGCCCGAGGCCCCATGCTAGAACGTGAGCAGAATTTATGAAACGAGCGAAAAATCGAAGACCGAGGACCAATCTCACCCACCAAAATAAAAGTGCATTCCTGTGCTGTCTGCTTGGGTCCAGCTCCTCCTCGGAGCTCCCTGTGGGGACAGACAGAGGTGTGTGTGTGTGTCGTGTCCGACTCTTTGCAACCCCATGGGCTGTAGCCCGCTAGGTTCCTTTGTCCCTGGGGTTTTCCAGACAAGAATACTGGAGCGGACAGCCATCCCCTGTCTCCAGGGGATCTTCCTGATCCAGGGATCACACCTGCATCTCCCTCTCTGCATTGCAGGCAGATTCTTTACCGCTGAGCCTTCGGGGAAGCCCGCCCTATTCCCCCAGGGCTCCTGCCCCAGGCCCTGCCGTGAGCGCCGGGGTCACACTCTTTGGAAGTCACTGTTCGCAACGATTACCTCTCCAGGGGTGA